CGGAGCATGATTTATTTATTGATTGTCTTCCTTATGAGTGGCGGTCGGGGACGAGCGATGGTCTTTTCCTACCAATCTATCCCCCTAGGAGCATGCGTGTAGTACTTTGTTTTGATAACTAATAGATTTTTGCAATAAGTATGTGAGTTCTTTATGACTAATGTTGAGTCCATGGATTATACACACTCTCACCCTTCCACCATTGCTAGCCTCTCTAGTACCGCGCAACTTTCGCCGGTACCTTAAACCCACGATATACCTTCCTCAAAACAGCTACCACACCTACCTATTATGGCGTTTCCATAGCCATTCGGAGATATATTGCCATGCAACTTTCCACCGTTCCGCTTATTATGACACGCTCCATCATTGTCATATTGTTTTGCATGATCATGTAGTTGACATCGTATTTATGGCAAAGCCACCGTTCATAATTCTTCCATACATGTCACTCTTGATTCATTGCATATCCCGGTACACCGCCGGAGGCATTCATATAGAGTCATATTTTGTTCTAAGTATCGAGTTGTAATTCTTGAGTTGTAAGTAAATAAAAGTGTGATGATCATCATTATTAGAGCATTGTCCCAATGAGGAAAGGATGATGGAGACTATGATTCCCCCACAAGTTGGGATGAGACTCCGGACGAAAAATAAAAAAAGAGAGAAAAAAGAGGCCAAAAAAAGAGAGAGAAAAGTCCCAAATAATAAAATAAAATAAATAAATAAAAAATGAGAGAAAAAGAGAGAAGGGGCAATGCTACTATCCTTTTACCACACTTGTGCTTCAAAGTAGCACCATGAACTTCATGATAGAGAGTCTCCTATGTTGTCACTTTCATATACTAGTGGGAATTTTACATTATAGAACTTGGCTTGTATATTCCAATGATGGGCTTCCTCAAAATGCCCTAGGTCTTCATGAGCAAGCAAGTTGGATGCACACCCACTAGTTTCTTTTGTTGAGCTTTCATACACTTATAGCTCTAGTGCATCCGTTGCATGGCAATTCCTACTCACTCACATTGATATCTATTAATGGGCATCTCCATAGCCCGTTGATATGCCTAGTTTATGTGAGACTATCTTCTCCTTTTTGTCTTCTCCACAACCACCATTCTATTCCACCTATAGTGCTATGTCTATGGCTCACACTCATGTATTGCGTGAAGATTGAAAAAGTTTGAGAACATCAAAAGTATGAAACAATTGCTTGGCTTGTCATCAGGATTGTGCATGATTTGAATACGTTGTGTGGTGAAGATGGAGCATAGCCAGACTATATGATTTTGTAGGGATAACTTTCTTTGGCCATGTTATTTTGAAGAGACATAATTGCTTAGTTAGTATGCTTGAAGTATTATTATTTCTATGTCAATATTAAACTTTTGTCTTGAATCTTATGGATCTGAATATTCTTGCCACAATAAAGAAGAATTACTTAGAGAAATATGTTAGGTAGCATTCCACATCAAAAGTTCTGTTTTTATCATTTACCTACTCGAGGACGAGCAGGAATTAAGCTTGGGGATGCTGATACGTCTCCAACGTATCTATAATTTTTTATTATTCCATGCTATTATATTATCAACCTTGAATGTTTTACATGCATTTATATGCTATTTTATATGATTTTTGGGACTAACCTATTAACCCAGAGCCCAGTGCCAGTTTCTGTTTTTTCCTTGTTTTAGAGTATCGCAGAAAAGGAAAATCAAATGGAGTCCAATTGACCTAAAACTTCACGGGACTTATTTTTGGACCAGAAGAAGCCCACGGAGTATCGGAGATGGACCATGAGAGTCCCGGGCTGCCCACGAGGGTGGGGGCGCGCCCCCTGCCTCGTGGACAGCCCGGAGGTGCACCGACGTACCTCTTCCTCCCATATATACCCATATACCCTAAAAACTTCGGGGAGCACAATAGATCGGGAGTTCCGTTGCCAGAAGCCTCCGTAGCCACCGAAAACCAATCTAGACCCGTTCCGGCACCCTGCCGGAGGGGGGGAACCCTCACCGGTGGCCATCTTCATCATTCCGGCGCTCTCCATGATGAGGAGGGAGTAGTTCACCCTCGGGGCTGAGGGTATGTACCAGTAGCTATGTGTTTGATCTCTCTCTCTCTCGTGTTCTTGAGGTGATACGATCTTGATGTATCGCGAGCTTTGCTATTATAGTTGGATCTTATGATGTTTCTCCCCCATCTACTCTCTTGTAATGGACTGAGTTTTTGCTTTAAAGTGATCTTATCGGATTGAGTCTTTAAGGATTTGAGAACACTTGATGTATGTCTTGCGTGGGATACCTGTGGTGACAATGGGGTATTCTATGATCCACTTGATGTATGTTTTGGTGACCAACTTGCGGGTTCCGTGACCTTGGGAATCTATGCATAGGGGTTGGCACACATTTTCGTCTTGACTCTCCGGTAGAAACTTTGGGGCACTCTTTGAGGTTCTATGTGTTGGTTGAATAGATGAATCTGAGATTGTGTGATGCATATTGTATACTCATACCCACGGATACTTTAGGTGACATCGGAGTATCTAGGTGATATTAGGGTTTTGGTTGATTTGTGTCTTAATGTGTTATTCTAGTACGAACTCTAGGGCTGTTTGTGACACTTATAGGAATAGCCCAACATATTGATTGGAAAGAATAACTTTGAGGTGGTTTCGTACCCTACCATAATCTCTTTGTTTGTTTTCCGCTATTAGTGACTTTGGAGTTACTCTTTGTTGCATGTCGAGGGATAGTTATATGATCCAATTATGTTATTATTGTTGAGGGAACTTGCACTAGTGAAAGTATGAACCCTAGGCCTTGTTTCAACGCATTGCAATACCGTTTACGCTCACTTTTATCATTAGTTACCTTGCTGTTTTTATATTTTCAGATTACAAAAACCTTTATCTACCATCCATATACCACTTGTATCACCATCTCTTCACCGAACTAGTGCACATATACAATTTATCATTGTATTGGGTGTGTTGGGGACACAAGAGACTCTTTGTTATTTTGGTTGCAGGGTTGCTTGAGAGAGACCATCTTCATCCTACGCCTCCTACGGATTGATAAATCTTAGGTCATCCACTTGAGGAAAATTTGCTATTGTCCTACAAACCTCTGCACTTAGAGGCCCAACAACGTCTACAAGAAGAAGGTTGTGTAGTAGACATCACTCCCCTTGTGTCAAATCAATAAATTTGGGTGAAATACTACCCTCGAAGACCGTTGTGATCCCCCATACTTGTGGGTCATCAGTAGACATATTCATCATCCTCTTATACCCCCTTGCATAAGGTGCTCCCACATCGATAGAAAACAAATCAGGACGTAGGATATTACCTCACCATGAGGGCCTCAACCTGGGCCAACTCCCCGTGCGAACTCCCCTCTTGTACTTTCGGTTACGCTCGCTACCCTACCGAGGGATCTGCGCTTTTCTGCACTTTCAGTAACACCGCCAGTAGTCTCTGGACTAATCTTCAAGCTTGGCAGCATCCCGACCAGTACCAAACCGCAACATCGTTTTTTCGCATGCTGAGGTTGAAACTGGTTCTTCGAAGCTCCCTCAACAACAATTGTTCATCACCGACCTCCTATGTCCGTACTGATTTTGAAGTCAGATGAACCACTTCGGTCTTGAATTGTTGACGAAGATAGCCAACCCACACAAAGAGAAATTCCTGGCACAACCGACCTTCACGAGCCGAATTCCCGCGCAACACTTGTCAAATTTGCTAGTCCAGTCTTGTCAGTAAGACCAGACCGGCCTCTTCAGCTAGTCAAGTCGGACTGCGTGTCAAACCTAACCTGTCGGTCAAAGTGACATGTAGGAGTGGGCACAGGCCCACCTAGGCCACATCCCATCGCCCGAAGGCGTGTGCCTTGATTCCCGCGAGCAATAATGGCGGGCCTCTCAATTCCCGCAGGCAATACTAGGATACAAGGGGATTTGCCTGCCACGTGATGGGGATTGCCTACTGCCGTATCGCCTCTTGTCCACCTATAAAGGGGAATGGGCCGAGAGGGGGAGAGGTTACGCTCTTGCGTCCTCACTTCTTCTTCCTCCTTTTGTCGCTGCTTTCTTGCGGATGCGCTCTTTTCTTCACTATGCTGCTGCTCAGCCGCACCACCACGATACACTCACCTTGGCTAGCATGATGGTGGTCCGATGATGGTTGGCAAAGAAAAGTGACCACGCTCTTCGTTGCATCTAGGTCCATCCGGGCGCGAGGCATGTGAGCGGTTACCTACTTCGCGCCTTCTTTTCACTCTTTCCCCTTTTGTACCTAGTACTTTATAAGACCCGATTTCTCCCCCTCTCTCCCCTACCTTGTAGACATTGAATCATGTAGCGTGTGTCATCGGTTCCATATGGAAAGAGTCCTTCATTAATCCACCTGCCCTTGCTGTTACCGATCACCGCCCTCGCCACTCCCTTGACATTGCCCCAGCGCCACAGAATCACCAGGGACAATACCGACATAGGGCAAGGCTTCGCGCGCAATAAAGATTTGAAAGAGCGAGACTGCGGTTCGTGCCCTTGGAAGGTTGTGTCATAAACCCTAAACTAAACCTCAACAAGGTCTTTCGATGATGCAACGAGAGCTCAAAGCACACTCGCCGAAAGAAGAGGGGGAAGAGGATATCGTGTGGGAAGAGGTGTGAGGAGGCAGGGAGGGAGGAAAAAAAAGGCTGACCTTTGTTTTCCTTCACATATAAAAATGATATAGAAATCCCTAATTTTGTTTTCCCTCTACCCCGGTTCTCCCTATCCCCTCCCCTCGCCGGCGGCGCGCAGATCGCGACTGCACCCTCGTCGACGATCACCTCTGTCGAACCCTAGCATCCACTTTAAGTTGCTTGTCGGGGCTGTCCTTCCCTCGCCGTCTCCAGCGGTTCTCCCTCGTCGCCCCAAGCTTCCGTTTTCTTCTCCAGCGGCGCTCGCTTCGCTCCTCCGGCGAAGTCGTGTGCAGGGGGCTTCCAGCGTCCATGGTCGGCATCGACGAGTGCTCGGTGGCGCTCGTGCCCGAGGTCGAGCATGCGCTGGCGAACCCGGACCCCTCCTCTATCTCCCCGGACGCATGGGCGCCTTTCGAGGCCGCCGCGCTCGGTGTCATGTGCCGGATCCAGCCAACCGTCGCCTCGGAGGGGCGCCGTGCGGCCGTTGTCGACTACATCCAACGCCTCGTCAAGTGTTCCGTCGGCTGCTCGGTACCAGTTACTCCATTTCCCGCATGCTCCAATTTTTACTCGATATGCTTTCCTTACTGTCCCGCTGCACGACAAACCCTACGATTCCTTTGCTTTGCGCATGACGGACATGTGCAAGGCGCGCAGGTGTGTAGTTGCGAATCTATTCGCAGCGTGACAACTTTGATTGTCATCCCTGTTATATGCCCGGGAGCCCTTTAGGAGGATTCCGTACGGTTCTGATTTATCCTTTAGGTCATGGAATTGTTGCCAGGATAACCTGTGATGCATATTGCTACTACTCATTTCATGGTTACCATACTTCCGGTTTCGTTTTAGGTGTACTCTGGCTCCAGTGTGATCGTGCTAGCGCTGCCAATGCCATCAAAGAGATATACTTGTTGCTATATTTGGAATCCTGACATTATTTATATGTCGAGTTTTTATTGGCCATGAATGTTTCATTGCCCCTTGTCGGGCATGCACTCGAGTTCCCTCATCATATTGCTTTACTATCTATTTACGACAAGTGCAGATTGATCAATGACTTGTCAGTCTTGGGTCGGAGGATTGGGTATAAATTAACTTAGTGACCATTTTGGGCCTCTATATCTTGTTCGTGTTAGTATGATCCTTTTGGATAAATGCCCTTATCTTACTATATTTGTGCGTGCAATAAAACCATGTTTCTGCATATAGTTAATTGTATCCGAGGAAGGGTTATGTACATGTTTGTTACACAATTAGTTAGTTAGGTGTCTTGGATCATTGTTCCCTGGGATATCTGGCTAATGTAGTTAGAACTTGCTATAAATAGTCTACTTGGCGCGTAGGGATAATTGAAGTTCTGCATGGAAATCAGTGAAATGTGATGGCACTTTACTTGGTATGCTCAATATGCTTTACGCTTCATACTATTTCACATGTTGAAATGGTAATAATACTGTCACTTCTGGAGATGGCATTAGAGAAAAACCATGAAATCACAATTTTTTGTTTGTAATTGTGTACCAAAGTTGGAAAAGAATTATTGCTTGTGCTTTTATTCCTGTACTGAGATTGATATTTTTTTAATGGTTATCTTGAATAATTCGACAGCCTATAGAAGTACAGAATTAACCCTTTTCCCTTTTTCAAACCAGGTCTTTCCATTTGGATCCGTTCCACTGAAAACATATCTTCCTGATGGAGATATTGACTTGGCTGCTTTCGGTTATACATGTTCTGATGAAAGCCTGGCAAATGAGGTACGTGCCATTCTGGAATCAGAAGAGCGGCGCAAAGATGCTGAATTTGAAATCAAAGATGTCCAGTATATAAATGCTGAGGTGCGCCTTCGAATTGCTCTCTGTTTTAGTTTTCTTTTTTGGGGTACTAATTGTCTATTCACATAGTAGCTGCCATCTTCTTATGAATGCTCATTTTTAAGTATGTTATATAAGGCTGGGTAACGACATTCCTGTGATTTAACCAAACTGTTGATATCATTCTTGTCCTACCATAAATTGGGGGAAGAACAACAGAAGTATTCATCTTTTCATATGAAACCAATGAGAATGTCATTATCTTATATATCATTCATATTGATAAAAAGGAATTGTTTACTGTGATCATGTCGTGTGGTGGGATGCTTGGCGGTGGATTGACCTGGAGCGGGTAGCTGTGGGAGATGGTCTTCTGGGTTGACTAGCCGTGATGCCAAATAGCCCCCTGATTGGGTAGCGGAACGAGGATAGAACTGGGATGAGATACTAAATTAATCTTTGCATACTTTATTCATACTATTGGCCAGAGTAGACTATATAGTCAACTTACACAACTAATCTCGTTCCTGGGCCTAACTTGCCTAACAAATGGAACCTAATTAAGAGATAATGGAGAATCATATCAGCGGTCTTATCTCATGTCATTGTTATGAACACATTTTGTTGTTGTACATGTTGCCGCATATTGTTAGTATTTTATCATCAGGATGTTTCAACTGATGTGCCTTTCTGATGTCAGGTCAAGCTAGTCAAATGCTTTGTCCAAAATATTGTTGTCGACATCTCATTTAATCAGATTGGTGGACTATATACGCTTTGTTTTCTAGAGCAGGTAATATTTCAAAGTTGCCACAAGTTACTTGGTTGCTTTCTTGAAACTGCAGATCTATCATCTATCATTCCCTTTCCCTTCCTTCTGAGGTAGGACCTGGGAAAAAAACTTCCTTGTTATCAGTCTGCTCGTTACCAGACATATTTGTAACCACCTTATTTTGTAGGTGGATCAAAGATTTGAAAAAACCCACCTTTTCAAGAGAAGTATAGTGCTTATAAAAGCCTGGTGTTATTATGAAAGCCGCATCCTTGGAGCCCACCATGGTCTAATTTCTACCTATGCCTTGGAGACATTAGTGCTATATATCTTCCATCTCTTCCATGAGTCTTTGGATGGTCCATTAGCTGTAAGTTCTGACTTAATTTTTGTGTGCCACATTGTAAAGATTGTGTTTGTCACATTTCTAAGCTCCTTTAGGATGCACACACTCGCAAGGGTGACATCACTATCTGCTCTTCCGCAGGTACTCTATAGGTTTCTGGACTATTATAGCAAGTTTGACTGGGATAATAGGGCTATAAGCTTACATGGTCCTATTTCCTTGTCTTCCCTACCTGAGCTAGTTAGTAAGTGTACACAGCCTGATCTTTGTGTATGATTGAATGTTCTGTGTTATAATTGCTAATCACATAGCTTTTCTTGCACAGCCGACTCACCAGGCATTCATGATGATTGTTTTCTTGAGCGGGAGAAGTTTCTAAGAGAATGTGCTCAAATGTTTACTGCCCCCCCTAGGAACAATGAGAGAAATACACGCCCGTTCCCTCGAAAATTTCTCAACATAGTGGATCCATTGAAGCAGAGTAACAATCTTGGGCGCAGTGTCAGCAAAGGTCTGTTTTCTGCCTCTAGATCATTTATTTTGGTGGTACAAAGGATGATTATGCTTTTAACTATGTCACAACTATAGGGAATTTAGGAAAAGCTGATGTGCTAACTTGCTTGTTGTGATGTGAAATTGTTCTTGATTTCATATTCATGTCATATTTTCATTGTTGACACTGCCACTCAAAGAAAAGTGTTGCTTGACTTCTTTGCCCCTAATTTATGTACTTGCATCACAGATAGTTTAGTTTGCATAATGACTGGCCGAAATGGGCTTCCCACGTCCAGAGTTCTATGGTTAATATGTGCCTGTCCCAATTTTCTGTTCCTTCATTGACCTTTTCCGAGCGAATTCCTCTTATAGTTCACTACTAACTGATTTACTGCAACTAGTGCTGTTTTGACTGTCTTGCTTTTCCCACTGCTTGCTGTTGCATGCAATTGGCTTCTATCGGCTAGAGGATTTCATTTTAAGGTTTGTGTACAAGGAAACTCTTTGCCATTTAATCATGCAGTTCCACTAAGCTCACTTGCAAATGTGCTGTTGAATGGCTGTCTGTTGTGTGTGTACTTGTGGTCTTGTTTTGATCAACACACGTAACTTTCTTCTTATGTGCACTAAACCGCTTCATGGACATAGTCCTTAGTTTGATTTTATTTCCTGGGCCTAACTCGACTACTGAATGCCCAGGTAACTTTTACAGAATACGCAGTGCTTTTGATCTTGGTGCCCGGAAGCTCGGAAAGATCCTTCAAGTTCCTGCCAATTCTATTGTGGATGAAGTCAATCAGTTCTTCAGGAGCACACTGAAGAGAAACCTCGGCAGGGCACGCCCAGATGTGCAAGGCACTGCAGTGAACTTGAACATTGAAAGAGACAACAAGGGTTATCCACCTTTACACAGTAATCCCTGTGAGGATCTATCTTATCAGCTCAGTAGTATCAACATTTCAGATAATCATGGGTCTCTGAAGCAGGAGGAACATAGCTCTAGCGGTGAGCACCAGGAAATGAAATCTGCTTCACATCTTGTAACTAGTTCTTTAGTTAGTGTGAGCAATGGGATGTCAACAAAGGTGTACAAAGAGGTGGATGGTGATCGGTGTGCCACCATTGACAATTTATCAGATCTCACAGGGGACTACAGAACAAATTTTAACAATCTCCTCTATTCACAGAGTTGCCATCAAGACTATCCAGTTCATCCAATTTACTATCCAATGCTTGCCCCACCACCTGTACAATATCAGAACAAACACTCACTGAATGGTCATAACAGAAAAAATGCTTATGGATATCCCAGTGCAAACAGAATGGCCCCTGGTCCTTATTCACCTAGCTACTTCTTCTTAAAGCCGTTTTATCGCACTGAGGATCCTATGCAACCTCATGGAGCAGTCACCTACTTCCCCGACCCAGTATGTTCCCTTTTTTTGTCCATTATTCTGCTTGTACAACTTGAAAATGCATTTCGAATAAACTGAATTTTGTATTAACCCAAATGCCTTTTTATTCCATGTATCATGCATGTAAATGCTTGCAAGAATAATCTACTAATGCTCCTGTGCTTGAATTAAAGTGATACTGGAGCTACCATATCTCTTGTAAATACATATTCATGAACATATCCCTCTTAGTTTTATGTTTCTGTTACAGAACAGTTTTACTTTCTCAAGGCTAGGCACTGTATTTGTGCCGTTTGTGCCGCTCTATCTTGTTTTTTATCTGAGTTGTCTGGCTTGATGGATATTGTAGAATTTGTGCATGGAGGCACCACCCACTGGACGAGGGGAAAGAAAGAATTATTTCCCTCGAAATAATTATCAAAAGCATCACCGTTATGGTAGGGTGGACATGCCTGCAGATATGACACGTTCTGAGGAATTGAGGCAACAGCCACCATTTCCGATTTATGTTCCTGTTGCAAATGATAAAGGAATTCCCTCTCCGTTGAAGATACCAACTCCATCACCCCATTCTACACAGGATAATATTCATGGAAGGGGCTTTATTCATCCACATGACAGTAAACTTGAGTTTGGGACCTTGGGGGCATTGCACATGGAAGTTAGGAGTGCTTCCCGAAATCAAGCTAACAGACCATATTCTGCTTCTGACACTAAACCTTCTTCAACCCTGAGATCGAACTCTCCTGGACAAAATCCTGGAACGGGTTATAGATCTAATGTAATGAGGTAAGTAAGATGCATCCTTTTAGTAATTAAAAGCAATAACGTCAACTGTTTCATAGAGGGACGTGTAGCTAATCCCTATTTCTTTACTATTTTACAGCAATGACTATTGAGGCACACCACAATTATTAGTTTCTTAAACAGAAATTAAGGTCAGTGTTAGGTTTTAGCTTCAGCAAAAAATATTGATACGGCCACGTGAAAACCACACTAGAACACTAATTTGTACTCCCTCCGTCCGAAAATAGCTAGTACAAAGCTGAGTCACTTATTTTGGGACGGAGGGAGTAATATGGAAACCGTCCATTTTGTTAGTGTTAACCTTGGATCACATCTGTTCAGCTTGAAAATGCATTCCTTTTCTCTGGTTTTACCACATTCACTGTGTGACTTCACTCATTTATTATGTGTTTTCAACATTTACAATTCTTAATAATCCTACACTACACAATTTGCAGGAATACTAAGCCATATCATCTCAAGGACAATGGTGATTTCCCACCACTATCCAGTTGACGCCATATATGGCTTACCACATAGCAAAGCTGTTGTTTTTTCTGATTCAACCGGAAGATACTGATATGTGGCGCACACTCGGTGCAGCCATAGCAGAGGGTTTCTCTTCTAGTCAAGCATCGTCATGTACATCCTAACTTGGTTCTCCAGTCGTCAGATTCACCTTATGCGGCGGCGACAAATGCAAGCTTGCCCTGCAGTAACTGAAGTTTCAGCCCCTACCCCTCCTGGAAAACAGGACATTTTGTGCCATGTAGAACTGTAGATACTTGGGGGCAAAAATTTATATTTCCTTTCGCTTTCTTTAAAGTTTTGGCGTTCCCCTTGAGTGGGGAACAGGATGCAAAGATGGATAGAAAAAGGAGAGAAAAAGAGATAGTTTAGACATTCCGTTTTTACCTTGTGAGCATTCGAGGATTGCCGGGGAGCTCGCTCTTGTAGTGTTAATCTGTCTGGGTCTTGACTTGCAACTGAAAGACCCCTTGCCTGAAGTAACATTAGCTGCCTAGAAATGATAGGCGTTGCATATGTGAGATTTTGGAGTTGCAGTTAATACATGGAAAGAAATTTTGCTCGTGTTGTGCCTTGCCTTGTCATTGTTGTTAATTATTTTAGATTTGTAACATCATTATGCTCTACTGTTAGCTCTGTTTCATGCTGGGAAAGGTGGTATGACGTTGAGTATGATTTGCTTGTGATTTTGCATAGAAACGAGTGTGTAGGGCAGAAATGTGTGGTGATATCATGTCGCTTTCAAGCGTAAAGTCAAAATGCAACTAGAAGAATCCGAGTCATGTTGTCTAGTGACATGTTTGGATAGGATGCAACGATATGTTCAGTCGGGTAGTTGGTCAAAAATAAAACCACTATCTTTCTCTCAATAATGTTATTTTTAATATGTATCTCCATGCGGATGACAATTATTTTTGCAGAATGATGCGATCGTACCTTGAATTCTGGCTGTTTTGAACTCCCAATTATGCCCCTTTTTATATGCTCTTTTGGTGGGTGAAGTACTTACATGTACTTCCTCCATCTCATAATATAAGAACGTTTTTGACACTAGTGTAGTGTTAAAAACGTTCTTATATTTTGGGACAGAGGGAGTAGAATAAAGTTTGGTAGCTCAATTATTAGAGTCTATCCTTTCAAAGCTTTTTCTCTCTCTAGAGCTCAGTTTGATTGACGCAAGCAGAAGTCCCAATTTGGTTTTACTATCCTATGTAAGTAGATGAAACTTGGCTCCTCACATAACCTCTTCGATAGATCGAATGGTCAAAAACCAAGCACCAGTGTAAGAACACAAGTTGCACCTTCTCCCAAATGCGCGAAAAATTGCATTAGGAAAAGAAACTACTCGTATGTCGAACACTCGAACGTCAAAGAGATGTTTGTATCTAATGGAGTACACTTAATTTGCTACTACGACATAGCCAAGTTTAGCTTATGTTATTCGTGGTAGCTTATCCTAATTAGATTATGTATAACCTAACACGTAGTCGGAAGGTGATCACCCTTAAGCATTCAGTTGAGTAGGTCGCTGTCGTAGGAGGAGTGGAGAAAGCGTCTTCAGGCCCAGGTTTGGGATGTTGTGCAAGAAAATGACTCTTTAGAATCCTGAAATAATGAGAGAGGAAAAGCAAATGGTCTAGTATTGGTCTGACAAATAGTTTATTGGTCTAAACGAATAATCCCGCAAACTCAAAGACCCTACCAGCGCAATAAAGCTAAGTTTGGTCCGGGTCAAATCGTTAATAATAGAGTTTTCCTTTGTTTACATGCCAGGGAAGAGGTTTACATGTCGTGCTAGTTCTCTCCATCCCAAAATGGAACCAAACAGGGAATATGCCAAACTTTCATACAGTAATAATTCATGTAAAAGTCAACTAAGAACCATGTAGACATATATTCCACTTTCTTCATTTCTAAATATAGGCTCTTTTAGAGATTTCAATATGGACTACACACGGGACAAAAATAAGTGAATCTATACTTTTGAATATCAGTTTTGCTAAAGCACATCTAGACGTCTGCGCAAAAAAAAAAGCACATCTAGACGTGCTTATTGCACGTATAAATCCTACATCATTGATTTTACACTAAGATTTATGCAAGCAATTTTTTTCTTTCTAGTTTAGTTGAATCACTTAGAT